TTTTACGTTTTCTCTGGCTCCTGGAAAAACAAGCGTATGAAGGCTAGAGCTTACATGATGACAGAGCCTGTCCTCACTTTAGAGGTTTTTTTTTTAAGAGTATGTCATACACCCACTCTTTTATAACGATAACTTTCATTGTTATCTGTTGTGCTGTGTAAATCCAAATCTATCATTCTTTTACTTTGCACTCTCTCAAACACTTTGTCGTACATGAAAGCCCCATAACACAAACTGAGAGCATTTTTCGACCAAAGTTTTTGCCCTGGGCCAAATGTTGATCTGCAGCGCATCTGGGGTTTGCTGTGACGCAAGCCAGAATCAGAGAGTCGGAAAGGCATTTGATTCATTAGAAGAAGTATTTTAAATCAGCCATAAGAGAGAGGATTGATTATTAGCAGAATGTCATTAGTACAGTGAGGTCACGCACAAAGGCGTCTTCTGTCCTTCCTGGATGGGGGACAAAGGTCCACAGCGGGAACTTAGGTTCTGGTCTGAGCTTCTGGCAGAAGCGTAACCAGACCCCACCTCCTCTGGAGAGCAGCTCCCATCCTGGGACTCCTCTCTCTGCAGGCATCTGATGGTCGTGGGCTGGATGGTGTCCTCCACCGATGACATCCAACTTAGCTCCTTTTCCTGCTCTCCTCCGCAGTCTTCATCTTCCTCCTGCTCCTCATCCTCCTCTTCCATACCAGGGACACGGTGGAGCTTAGCTCGGCTGGTTTCCAGCGGTTGCCCTGGGGGAAGTGCATCCTCCAGATTCAGGCTCTGGGCACATCTGTGGAGAGGGACCTTGACCTGCCCAGCTTCCTGCCCTGGATACGCAGGATCTGTCTGTGTGGACTTCTCCAATGTGAGTGTGGCTCTGTGCTCTGTGGATGTCAGTCTTCCAATGTGGCCATTGGGAGTAGTCACAATACTTTCTGACAGTTGGCTGGACATAGTTCAAAGATTGAGATCAAGACACAACAGTCACATAGGGACGGACATATCAACCAAACATTTTCACCAGAGCTCTACGCCTCTGTAAAGTATGGTTTTTCTTTAAGGAAAATGAATGATGACTACATCCATGACTGGATCTATGAATTCACGGCACTTAGTGCGTTCATCATACCTGGGGTTAATAGAATGGTGGATCCCATCGACAGCTGAACTGGAGGACAGTTTCTTGCTGCTGGTGCAACCATCAAAACAGCACACTTGGTTTAGCACCCGTGCGGACGCTGGGTTCACTGAGTGGCAATTAAACATTTGTTACATAGTACAGAATGGTTCATTTTTTCAAAAATGATATTATATTGCA